GTGGGTGTCCGTGATCATGCTCCGCACCATACGTTTCCCAAATTGTCGTGCAAGTGTCCAAGCCCGTTAATGGTTAATCAAAAGTCTGTGGCTGACGCCACGTTTGGGCTCTTTTTCGTAGAATTGAAACCTATTGCAACACACCTGTGGTGAAGCGGAAAGAAGAGATATACTTGTTCAGATGGTTTCACTTAAATGGATATCCACAGAGCTACGACCCCTCAGTCTGCTTAAACGACAACAAAGAGAATCGTTCTACCTTATGTAAAGAACACCTCCAAGATAGCAAAATTATTCAAACAGCGCGGTATTACAGTGGCTGACAAATCAACCGCCACATTGAGGAGAACCCTGTCGAAACCCAAAGCTAGACCTGAAGCACACGAAAAACGAAGTGTTATTTACAAAATACGGTGTCAAAATTGCGATAAGAACTATGTGGGTCAGACAGGAAGACAACTGTCTACAATAGAATAAAAAAACAGCTAGTAAGAATCACTACGCTCTCTCACTAGTTTCAATACCTACAGACGAAGAAGGACATCGCTTCGGTTGGAACAACGCAGAGGTCCTAGCACTAGGAGAGACACGAAAAGGAAGAGAGTTCTTCGAGGCATGGTACTCGACGAAGCGCTCGATAAACATGCACGTCGAGATTGACCCAGTTTACGAAACGCTAAGACAGAAAGAATTTTGAAAAAACTTAAAAACCGTCGTAAGGAGCTAAACGAGCCGTCAAAAATGCAGCCACAAAACCCTTACACGGATCGCCCGTATCTATCAGAGAAGTCAGGCAGGCAGATGGTCGCGGGGCACAGATCGAGGTGGTCAATTCAAAAGTCACTTGCTACACACTAGACACGGTAGCTAGAGATGGGAAACACCTCTAGCTACGGTGCTGCAAAACCTAAAAGAAAATGGGGAATAAAATGCAACAGGTGGAAGCCGGATGAACTACTGGTAACGGATGGGCATCGTTACGACAAGCTACCTGCCGGCAAATTATGCAGCGGGAAAAAAATTTACTATGCAAAATTATAAAACGCTAAATACTAAGATCGTTGTTGGAGTGGGAGGCTAAAAGGGATGGGGAGGGACAAAGAAACTCACAGCACGAACGCCACCGAGGTCGGCTCCTAGCCATATCAACAAGTGTATCCAGCCAAACGTGTTCATCGTTTTTCGGAACCCAACCAGGGAGCCGTGACGCTCCAATCGAGGCCAGCTCAGAAGTGAGGGTCTACATTTCTCTCGAACAAGCCATCGCTTGGCCACCGCTCCTCTTCTTCCATCCACACCCCCCGGCGCGCAAACAACGCACGTCGCAGGAGTCGGTGAGCTGACATGCGTCACGTGGCCCACCCACTGGAGTCTGGTGAGTGAGAGAACAGTGCTGAGAGGTTCATTTCCTTTTTCTGTGCCGTAAACAAAGCGTCGAACACGCTTGTTGCTAACTCGGTGTTCCCACCAGATGTGAGCTAAATTGCGAAGGCACCGGTGGTCGAACGTAACTAGCCTTTTCAGGTCCGTTTTGACAAGTTGTGTATAGGCTGTCCACTCTCGGCACAAATGGTTTCACTAACACCAGGTCTCCTGCTACCCGTTTCCCGTATCAAATGGAATAACTTACGATGGTTACCAGGGGCAGCGGTCATTTCCATCTCTGATGCACGATGAGACCACCAGGATTCGCGGTCTCTCTTCAGGCTAGCACGGAGTTTTGCCCGGAGCTCTTTGCGAGTTTCATTGTGTTCGCTTCCAGCCAGAATATGCCGGCGAGCATCGACAAGTTCCAGAGACTGTGAAGAGACCCAATGTCCATGTTGGCGATTAGACATAACACATGAGGATTTTCCTGCGGCTAGTAAGGTCTGGTGAATATGAGACCAGTGACCATCAACTGTCTCCAGTGAGCGCTTACTCAACTCGCATGACAGCGTACTCTGATAGGTAGTAAGAACAGCTGGCTTCGCAAGTTGGCTGATGTCAATGCGCTCACAACGTCGTCATGGGCGTCCGCCAAAGCGCATCCGCATGTCAGCCCATACAAGTGCATGACCTGTATCCACACATGTGCTCCAAATCGAGCGACAGCTCTGGACGCAGCCACTCCATCGGTAACTTATCGCAATGTGATCAATTTGCGTCCATATCTGGTTCGAGGCTGGTGGGCGCCAAGTCACCCTCCGGCAGCTGCTGTGTCGGAAATTATTGCTCGCAAGAAATAAGCGAGCATCCTCACACAAATGAAGTAACCGCTCACCATTATCATTACGAGAGCCTACAACAGGTTGGCCGCCTAGATGCATTACATCAGTGGATAATTTTCCAACTTGAGCGTTCAGATCCCCAGCCAGCACTACAGTGTCCGAGCTTCTTCGGGGGCTAAGGAGCTAGTTCAATTGACGACAAAATTCGTCTTTTACCGAATCATTGCTACAGTTTGTCGGTGCATAGGCAGCGATAACGAATAGATACCTGTTAGTCACACGCGACTTCGAAGTTTTGAACGAGCCAGCCAATCGGACCGCACACAACCGGCTACTGACGGGTATTCAATCAACCAGAGTAGCTTCAGCCCGGGGACTCAGGGCAATAACAACACCGGCTTGGTCGGTACTCAAAACTGTATCATCACCGGATAGGCGCAATGAGAAAGCACTGCTAGTATCACCTGAAGAGGATCGCAGATTGAGCACAGAGCTCGAGTCTTGCAGGCGAGTCTTCGATAAACAGCAGATATCGATCGAAAGGGGCACTAATGTTCGGGCAAGTGCTGCCTGTTGACCGATCTGTAGCAATGTGCGTAGAGGTATGCCAATTGGAAGGATGATCGAGGGTCCCAAATGGAACCCAATGAACTGGGCTTGACCGCTTGCTTGGACTTGGGCCTGTTGACACGGCAGGAATGACGCTCGGCGTCTATATGTGAGTTGAAACTAGAAGATAAAAGCCTAGCAAAGCATGTTAAGGGAAGGCCAAGAATTGGGGGGTTGAAAACTGGGGGGATAAAAGTGAAGTTGGTAGAGGACCATAAGAGTGAAAAAGCGTAAGAGGAGGAGTAAGAAGATGGAAAGGCTTGAGCAGTGGCATCCAAACCCCTATACACCCTGATCGATGCAGCAGATAGGGCACCGTTGATTATCCGCTGCGGTGGCCAGAGTATCAAGAAACTGTTTGAAGAGAAATTCACAGTATTGCGTGGGCAGGATACTGTCAGGTTGCCCAGGCCTAGACAGGAGAACGATTACGGTTCTCAATCAAAGCTTTTGGTTCAAATACCTTACCGCAAGGCAGCATGTTTGGCGTTGGGCTACAAGGAGTCCGTTTTAAGGAATAAGGAGCCACCTCGTTCCAATCCCTAATCTGGAGGACCAGGAGGCTGAGTTTGTCTGGCCACTAACCATTGGCCAATCTGGTATGAGTGCCTCTGAAGGTGCAAAAGCATCACCCACCATAGCTCAATGGATCGCTGAGGCACACAAACCATCACACCACGGTAAGGTCCAGCCTCATTGTGCTGGAAAGTCACTTGCTAAGCAATCGCAAATTAAGGACCAAGTAAGTCAGCGGATTACGTTTGACCCAGCAGCGCACTGAGGAAGTCACTTCTTGTGGTGTTGAATGAAACGCTTGCATACCAATTACAAATCTCGGTAAACAGCTGAACCCAGTAACGATCAACCCGGGCTACCAGTGCATCAAGTCATTTTAAACAAGTGTAATGTTAAAAATGAGTGTCCGGTGACAAGGTGCAGATGCCGAGAACCCTTATATGGACGGATGTCGTTAACTAGACGGCTGAAGCTAAGAGCAGTCAATTAATGATTGCACTAAAATGCGTGATGTGAAATCCGATTGGGACTTCAAATAGGGTTGTTTGATGTAGTGTTTGTGCACAATTAGAAGCAGATACAATGGTATGACAAACGATCATATTGCGGTCTATCAGAGGAGGGTTATAAGCAGCGCATATTAATACACGAGACCCGAAATACACAGCGTGCGAAGTACGGTGGATCTGTGCGTCATTGACAATGGACTACTGCACTCAAGGTGAGCGGTGGTGAACCGAATAGGGACGAGCTCACTCTCAAACGGCGAGATATAGTTCGCCACACAGTACAGTGGGGCAATTTGTTTCATAGAACGTTGTCTTCATATGGGGAATTTTCGAGAAAGTCCAAGTACTTAGCATAGTTACTTAGTTTTCAATTCCAAAACGGCTGGAATGTGGTTAAGAATGGGCTCAAAGAATTCGATTAGGAAAGTTTAGTGAAGAGATTAAGGATACATGAAGCATCAAAGTGAGTAAAGATCCGAGATAAGGTGAGTGAAGGTATTGGGGACGGGCAATGGAGAGCAGCAAAGAACAGCGATGGAGCTCGGGATAGACATATTAGTGGGGTACTTGATAAAATTGATCACCACCTCTTTGATGCCTGCAAAGGAAGCGATATCTGATACCAGAATAAAAGGAACACACTTTGAGTTGAGGCATAAGTAAAAATGAAGGGTTCATGGAAAAATGGAAGTACGAGTGATGCAGAAACGAAGTCGGTGCGAGAAACCATGCGCAGAATATTATTTGTGGTCGATGCAGATGGAAGCAGAAATCAATCCTGATATCACAGAGCAAGTGAAATACGAGGTGCACAAAAAGTCTGCCAAGAGAAATGATGAGGAGGAGACAATGCTCTAGTTAGGTCGGAGGGTTCGTATACCAGATTAAGCTATCTATACTGGATTCTTGTCAGAGAAACTCCAGTATGACAAGCAGATACACAAAAGTGGTAGTTCCGCGCTAAAACAGTTGCGTCAGAAAGTATTTTAGGAGAGACAGTAGCGTTCAAGTGCCACGGGGTAAAAGGGTGTTCAGCTTGGCGTTAAAGTGTGGACTACAAACGGGACAACAAAGTTACAAATGCCAAACGCAATGACAAAAATGGAACAGCTTATAACGGTAATCAAAGCGAATTTTGTACGCAAGGGCAACTAACCAATGTGAAAAGCGAACTGTTGGGCAATGCGACCAGTCTGAGCCTCCCATATAATGGTAGTCTGAGTCAAGGAAAGAATGGAATGATACTGAGTTAAGATTGGCAGAACAAAGGTTAAAAATATGACATTAGGTGAAGCAAGTTTAATTAAACGACAAGGTCGTCTCAGAGTTGTTCCGCCACGATATATGAAAGTGAATCGAAAATAAAGCCAAAAGGAGCAATACATAGGTTTGAGTCTAGCTGAAATGCCTCAAGATCGGAAACAAACGTGCCGTATAGACCCCGGTTACCAAATTGAAAAAAACGCCTTCCCCTTTCTGGTTAAACAATCCAAGCATCTTTAGATCGAATTTCCTCCCCCAAAATACTTTAATGTCATGACAGCAATGCGCCGCACTTTCCCCGTTAGACGACCGAAAAACTGCTGACGCAAGCAGTCAAACTCATTCAGTGCATCTCCACGAAGAAACACTGCAATTAGAATTCCGTTTGCTGCCACACATGCGATAACATTGGTGGAAATGGCTACGAAGATGGTGCATCAAGCGCCACGGTTAAGCTGATAGTGTCATCGATACCCAGACACCGGCTTCGCACCGTATATCATTGTTTACACATAAAAATTGTCTATAAGTGTTTATTGAAAGGAAAGTGCTAAAGATTGCTGAGACCGTGATCAAGGTCCTACTCCATCGCTCAGGAGCTGACTATAGATACAAAGTTTCCTTGAGGTAGATGGGTGTGTTTCCCGATTTAACAGTGAATTGCACGGCCGGTTTCGTAGTGGTACGCATTCATCAGGCAAAGATAGCAAGAGTGTGGCTAGAATCTGGGAATGTTTGGAACCGAGGCCAAAACCTCATCCATAAACCACCGAATCGCGGCCAGTAACGTGTCTTCGGGAAACATGATCTTTGTCAAAAAACCCAGTGATTCGTTCGTTTGTGTGATGTGCGCGGTTTTCCTGACTTCGTCAATAGCGAAGTTAAAGAGGACAGATGACAGCAGAAAACCTTGTCTTAAACCGCTGGAGATATTGAAGGGCGGCGACATTTTGCCATAAACCTTCACTCTGCCAGAACTATGCGTGTACAGCGTTCTGATAAGGTTTGCGCATTTCCTCAGCAAACTTTTGTACCATCAAGGCATGCGAACATAGTGTACGTCACGAACAACGTAGCGAGTTGGAATTTGTGTATTGTGACCAAGTGCCTACTGTGCCGTTCGTCGTGTAGCTATACAATTATCGCTATGTTAGTTCATTGATCTACCATGTAGTTTTTGTTCCCCTATTTGTAATGAGGAGGCAAAAATACGAAGCATGGAGCAAATGCGGTCATCTGATCTACGTGTCGTATGAAACCTCAGATTTCGCGCACCGGTCTGTACATTGACCAATTAAAAATACGTGGGATACAAAAAGATTTTGTCCAGGTATGTTGTCATCAGCATCATCATACACGTTAGCTAGAGGTCGGAAACACCTCAGCTACTGTGCAGTAATACATAAGAAATAAGGACAAAAATTATTGCAACTGGTGCAAGCCGGCTGAGCTAGCGGTAACGGATGGGCATCGTTCCGGTAATATACATATATATATATATATATATATATATATATATATATATATATATATATATATATATATCGTACACAATCTGTGGTACAGATATTGTGCCATCGGATTCGTGGTGGAATAGGAAAACAGTATGAATAATAAGAAAAGAGCAGCAACAAAAGTCTCGTCTGTCTATGTTACAACTCAGTTTTTGAATTTTTTTCCAGTTTGTTCTTTTTTAGGAGGAGGAAGAAGGGATACCGCAATACACGTCCGCCATTGAGATCGATCTTGAGCCTTGGCTTCCAAGGTCTTCAACCAGCAAGCATCGGCATCTCTCGGACCCCAACCAGATAGTCGACAACAACCGGCCGAGCCCAACTGTTTCGTCAGATTTTTCATGCGGCTTCTCCATGTTGTAGGCTGTCCACAAGACAGTCTCTTCCAGCTCAGTCCAGCAAACGCAAATAACGCACGACGCGGGTAACGCTGGACAGGTATGCGCAATACGTACCCCAAGCACCGCAGTTGATTCAGTGAGACGAGCTCCTCGAGCGAGTGGCTTCCACGTCTCAAGACACGCTGTTTAACTTCCAAATTGCTTACGTGGTGCTGCCACTACACACGAGCAATGGACCGCAGACAGCGGTGCTCGAAGACGGATAGCCTCCGCAAGTCATTTTTACGAATGGGCCAGGTCTTGCATTCGTACAATAGTACAGCACGAACATTTGCACAATAGACCCGCCCTTTGATAGAGAGACGCATGTCGTGGCGACGCCACAAATGCCTCAGCCTAGAAAAAGCGAGGCGTGCTCTCGAGATACGCATCGAAAGCTCGTCTCTAACAGTCCCGCCAGCACTGATGCAACTTCACAAGTAGACAAAGCTCTCCACAACCTCCAGTGTCTCACCAGCACGAGTGAGTGCAGGCAGAGGCACCTGCCAGAGTCTTGGAAGAGAGCCTTGCATTTGGATGGCGAAAAGTACATACCGTACTTTGATGCTTCATTCGCCAAGCGGTTTAATACAAGTTGGACGACGTGTGGATCGTCACCCAGCAAGATGATATCGTCAGCATAATCCAAATCAACAACTCGACTACCTGGGAGGAGCTCAACGCCAGCGTTCAAGAAATCGCCCCAGAGCGTTCTTCAGGACATCCTCAATGGCAAAGTTGAATAGGAAGGGAGAGATAGGGCATCCTTGTCGAACTCCACTGGAGACCACAAAGGTAGGCGAAAGCTTGCCATAAGCCCTAACCCTGCCCGAAGCCAGACTATAGAGAGCGAGCAGTATGGAAACAAACTTCTCGGGGACACCATTCCTCAGTAGGTAGTGCCACAGTACTGTACGATCGACAGAATCCAAGGCTGCACGGATATCCAGGAACACAGCAATCGTTAGCCTCTGATACACATGGCGGAGTGTGAAGATTTGATCGATACAGCCGCGAACAGGGCGAAACCCAGCTTGTTCTTCTCGTTGCAACGATTCGCGTGTTGGGGATAGCCTGCGAAGTATGATGGACACCAGCAGCTTGCAAACGAGGGGACTAAGCTTATTCCTCTGTAGTTGGAGCAGATTGTGCGCAGAGCCTTTTTGAAGCTAGGGACGACTATCGATTCACCCCAAAATGACGGAAGTTTCTCTTTTGACCAAATTTTCGAGAACAAAGCAGTGAGTTCTCGAACTAGAGAAGCGCCACCACCTTTAAATAGAGGTGGAGGTAGATCATCAGGACCGGGGGCTTTATAACGCTTCATGTGCCGGAACTCTTGCTCGTTTTCCTGGTAAGAAGGAAGATCTGTGGGGGTAGATCACTGCGCCCCAGCGTGAGCGCCAGAGGTAGCAGATGGGGCTGGGGGCCAACAAAACTGCGAGCCAAAATGTTCGGCCCATCGCTCTAACCGTCGTTGAAGATTGATGATTAAGGTGCCATCCTCTTCGCATATTGTTTCACTTACACCAGATCGAACAATTTCGGTGACTAGAATGAGTTGGAGAAGTTTTCTGGTATTACCAGAGAGACTAGCAAGCTCCATCTCCCTAGCACGTTCACAACACCAAGCTTCGCGGTCCATTTGCAGACTCCTGCGCAATTCTCGACTAACGGATTGGCGTTCTCCACTGTGTCTGGAATCCGACGGGATCAAGCGGCGTTTGTCCATCAGCGACAAGCAGTCGGCGGAAATCTAATGCTTCAATGGGTAACGGGCAACTCCACAAGTGTCGATACTGGCGGAAACTAAAGCATCTTTGATCTGCGCTCACTGCGAATCGAGATCAACGTCAATAGTTGAGCCAAGCAAGGTTGACAATGAGGCTTGGTACCGGGTTAAAATCGCAGGGTTTTGTAGATTTTCGACGTCCGGTCGGTAGTGGGCGCGCTTAGGTGGTCCTTCGAAACGCATGCAAATCTTAGCACGAACCAATGCGTGATCAGAGTTTAGAAAAGTTGACCAGTACGATCGGCAGTCCGTTACGCTTCCGCGGCATCTGTATCTGATTGGTATGTGGTCAAGCTGGAAGCACTCTTGCGTTTGTGAGGGCGGGCGCCAGGTAGCAGTGTGTCTCCTCGAGTGTCGAAAACTAGTGCTCGAAAGAAACAAGCGATGATCAGAGCAAAGAGCAAGCAGTCTGTCTCCATTGTCTGATCGACTGCCACCGAGACCAAAACTACCCCCCAATGTGGTGCTCGCTTGGTAGAAGGCGGCCCACCGGTGCGTTAGAGTCTCCGCCAAGAATGACTATATCCGTCCGTTTGAGGGAACGCAGCTTCTGGTGTAAGCTGTCCTTAACTGCATCCGGGCTGCAGTCTGTAGGGGCATAGACGGAGACGTCTGGACGCCTGCTTACATTACATGAACCTCTTAATCGGACTGCGCATAGCTGACTGTTGACTGGGATCCAGTCAGCTCCGGCACTCATTGCAACCCAAACACCAGCTTGGCCGGGTCTCCGGAAAGCCACAAGTGGTATTTGGCGTAAGAGTTTACCGGACAGGCCATTTTGATGACGGCGCTAGAGTCTTGTAAGCTGGTCTCTGAAAGGCAACAGATGTCTACCGAAAGCGTTTCAAATGTAGGGGCCAGACATGGTTTTCGTCCAATTTGCATCAAAGTTCGAACATTAAACGCTGCGAGGATAAATTGAGAACCAGGTCGAAGAAAAGCTGGAGCTTCGGCGGAGTGAGAGGCGCTTGCGATCGCAGGACATTGAAAACCGGGAGTTTGGCTGTTGCTCAAATCAGCTGAGAGACGTGGGTCGTTTGTGACGGTGACCGTAAGACATGTAAGTGAAAGACCAGAGGTGAGGTGATCTGTGAGTGGATGCCGAGCAGTTAAGTCAGCACAGAAGATAGGCACAGCAGAAGCAGTAGTAAGCAGCGTGGTCCATGGTTCGTGCCGGTAAGCTACCTGCCGGCTCCTGTGCATCAAAAAAAAATTAATATGCAAATATATATATAAGGCTAAATAGGGAGCACGTGGTTGGAATG